AACTCACTATGTAGTCCAGGCTGGCCTCAAACTTGCAGAGATCCTTCTGCCTCAGCCACCCAAATACTGAGATTACAGGTATGTGTCACCAGGCCTGACTTCTTGTTCTTTCTTTATTTTAAATCTATTTTGTTCATTTGGGGGGCTTAGTGACTAAAAGCAGGGAAGTGACAAGACATAATTATTACAGGGTAAAATATGTTTACCAGAGAAGCATAGGTGAGAAGTGCCCTAGCATCCAGGGGAAGAGAAAAAGACAGACTGCACCTCTGAGCACAGTCAGGGGAGGCGGCAGACATGGTCACAACTCTGTATCACAGTGTGGATAGAGGTAACAGTGGAGTTGACTGGGATGTGTCCAGGGGTGTAATAGTCCCCAGCTGATTAAGACTGTGGTACACATAACTGTGCATCTGTCCTCATGTGAAGAAATTCACAAAACATGAGCAAAGTCAAGAAAAGCAGGTGACCAAAGAGGAGTGAGGGCTGATTGCAATTTTTCTCATTTGGGGTATGTAGTTCTAGATATTTTTAGATACTTCTAGAAATAAATATCAAAATGTTTGAATTTCTGCATAGAGAGATTTAGAATGCTTGAAAATTATTTTTCAAGGCTAAGGGTATAGCTCAGTGACAGGACATTTACCTACCATGTATGAGGCCCTGGTTTCTAGCCAAACACACACATATGCACACACACATCCGTATTTTGGAGGTTTTGTTTTATTTTAAGACAGGCTATCACCGGCCCAGGCTGGCTTTAAACTCACATCCTCCTGCCTCAACCTCCCAAATGTTGGGAGTGTAAGCATGTACCATTATGCTCAGCTTATATTTTGAAAAAAAAATTTTTTTTTGGTCTTTTTGAGACAGGGTCTCGCTATGCAGTTCAAGTTGACCTTGAGCTCAGTTTGTAGCCAGGCTGGTCTCAAACTCACAACGATCCTCCTGCCTCAGCCTCCCAAGTGCTGGGATTACAGGCATGTGCCACCACGCCCGGTTTATATTTTGAAATTTTAATAAGATGAATATAAAAACATAGACTATCCTTTTCCCCAAGTTTTCCTTTTTTCTTTTTTTAATGTCAGCTTGCTATTAGCAACTTGGGCCAAAGTGACTCCTTTTTTCTTTGATGGAATTGTTTTTTTTTTCCAGTACTGGGAATCGAACTCACAACCTCACGCTTGCCATGCAGGTGCTGTGCTGCTGAGCCTTGCTGCCGCCCCTCTTTGATGGAATTGTTAGATCACAGAAATGCTTTGGATATGAAATGCCTTCATTCTATCAAAACATTTGACTTCCTGCTATAGCATTATGCAAGAAATGAAAAAGTAGCCTAGGAAACAATCAGATTACAACAAATAGAAAGATTTACTACAAACAAAACCAAAAGCTATGGATAAGTAAACAGTGCCCATGTGGAAATAAGTCTCTAGACAGAGCTCTAGAAGCATGCCTCAAGGCTTTGACGAAGTATTGTTCAACATTTTTGTCAATGACTTGAACAAAGACCACAAAAGCATGTGATCAGATTTTTAGATAAAACAAAGTTGGAGGGTAATTCCAAAAATGACGACAGGCCCAGAACAGTGGTGATAAACTTCTGGCACTGTGCCGCAGAGGCTGTTTCCATCATTGAAAGCTCCAAAAGGTTCACCATCACTGGGCTAGAACAACACAGATGAAATTGAACATGATTAAATGTAAAATCCAACAACCAGATATCCCAGATGTCCTGGAATTGGGGGAGCCCTTGGAGGAAAGATGTGAATTTCCCCCCTCTTTTAGTTTCCCTGGCAAATCTTTGCTGGGCATATTACATGTCATCTTTTGAGACAAGGCCTAACTGGAAGCAGTAATATTAGAATTGTCAGAGATCCTAGGATGGGCCCTAGCAAAGCTCCCCAAGATAGTATTATTACTGAGTTTTTCTAAGTTGTTTTAAGGAAGAGACATAATTTAGGCCTGTCTGTTCTGTAACATTACTCTGGCAAGGGAGTGAGTTAACCTGATCTAGGAGTGTGCCAGTCCAGTGTGCCTTGGTCACTCATCAAATCTTGATCAAGTGTTTGACTGAGTGTTCTATTCACTCGGGGCAACCGTCCATAGAGTTTAGGGCAAAAACCACAGCTAGCAGTGGGCAGGGAAGCAAGGGCTGGGGTAAGCAGTCTGAAAAGACACAGAAATCAAGGAGCAATTCTGTGAACAATGTCCTCAGGCTTCAGCTGTGCGTTGAGCTATCAACATCCAGAGTGACCAGAGCAGGGCTCTGAGTGCGTTGTCTCTTTAGAATGAGCTATCTGCTCTGGGTAAATTTTTAGCAGATCTAAGGCTGGATTTCTGAAACTTGTAGAAATAGTTAATATATACCTGGGTTATATATATGGGAGTTACAAGTTTGTTGTTTTTTTTTTTTTTAACTTTTCTAGAGCCTTGTGACTTGTATGCTGAATGTAATTTTTATTTAATCTAGTTTTTTAGTTACCTCTACTACAAATGTAGGCCTATTGTCGCTGCCAGTGATCAAAAGTAGGCTATATCTAGGAGTGATTTTTTTTTTTTTTTTTTTTTTTTTTTTTTTTTTTTTTTTGGCCTTTTTGAGACAAGGTTTCACTACGCAGTTCAGGCTGGCCTTGAACTCACTTTGTAGCCCAGGTAGGCCTTGAACTCACAGCAATCCTCCTGCCTCAGTCTCCCAAGTGCTGGGATTACAGTCATGCACCAACATACCCAGCAGGAGTGATTTTTTTTTTATAGCAGCACCCTACAAACTTTTATTATCTTTTCAGTACAGGTAAGGAATTGGAGGTTGGGGCCAGTGACACAGATGCTGAAGCCTAAGCAGGGGTATGGGTGCTAGCACAGCAGCTTGGGCTTGCAGAAGATACAGTGGGGGCAGGTCTGGTGGCTGGGGTTGATGTTTCAGGTCCCCAGAGGGGACTTAGGCCCTTGGACTGGACTATTTTGCGTTGTTGATGGCACATTTACAAACAGCAGCAAGAAGCAGTTTGCTGTGCAAATCATCCCTGCAGGAGAGTTTTGGCCAAAATAGTTTTGTCCAAAGTGACCACAGCACATCTAGCCTGTCAGACTTCATTTCTAACAGAGATACTTCCATCCATAGAAAAGGTATACTCAGCATCTGCCAGGCGGTCCATTTTTAAAACAGTTCATCCCAGTATAGCATGTGGCACCTGGACAGTTAGATCTTGGTCTAAGGTGAGCTTGTCAGCTTTCTTGATCAGGACAGTGGCTGTCAGAGCACAGAGGCAAAGGAGGAAGGCCGTATTTAGCAACCAAATCTGAGTATTTGCACAGGTAGGCCACTGGGCACTCCCAAGGGCTGATAGTCTGAGTAAGCATCATTGTTTTGCTGAACTCAAGGATCCAGATTTTATAGATGCCAACAGCGGTAAGAGATTTGTGGAGTTTTTTTTTGTTTGTTTTTGTTTTTGATAACCAGTTTCTGTAAGATATTGTAGCAGAGCTTTTGTGCTTTTCCAGCAGGTAGCTTGGGTGTCATAGGTCAGAAGTGCTTTTTAAAAGAAGAAACAAGTTTATGAACCTCTGGGAGGTTGAGTCCGGGTCAGTTGACTTTTGAGTTCAGAACTGGGGTCTTTGCAAAGTGGGGCTGGCTGACAGGAGCCAACTGAAAGTAGAAGGAAGCATTCTTTAGGTCCAGGCAGGTGTACCAGCAGGCTGTGGGTGACTGTAGAATGGAGGGCAACCACGGTGGCACTGACAGCTCAGAGATCTTGAACTGGCTTTACAGGCGGGCGATGTCCTCCCAGGCTATAAGCTTGTGCCTGGCAGAAGGGGTGAGAGGCAAGAGTCCCAGTTGCCCCAGTGGTGGTAACTTTTTGACAAAGGGAAATTTTGAGGACAGAGAGTTCTGTTCCATTTTCTACCAGGAAAGTCACAGTTTGCCCCTGACTTTTGCAATGATCACAGGCTCTTGGGGGCTCAATTTGATAGAGCTTGATCTGCCCTATCTATTCATGCCTGAGAGGGCACAACTCATTTGTCAGGGCTGACAGTTCAATTTTTCCTTAGTCAAAATGTGGAACTCAGAAGGAATCGTTGATAGTCGTCTCAGTGTTAGATGATGCCATCTGACCAGGGTAGGCATGTCTTGGGGTGGGGCACTGTGTGGCCAAATGCAGGTAGTGGTTAGCTGGAACCAGTTCAATTGGCTGGAAATAGACAAGTGGAGAGCAGGGAGTGAAGCTGTAGGTGTTGGCAGCAGCTGTGCTGGCTGATGAGAGTGCCAACGTGGATTTCTCAGGAGGAATGGGCCTCTTTTTCCTCTTTTTCTTTGAGATGCAGGGAGCAGTTTGGTTTCATTTTTAACTCTGTAAAATCCCTTTTGCCTGCAGTCAGGGCTATGGGTTTTGACAAATTAATTCCCCTCTCTGACTTCCTATGTGTGTGTTGTGTACCCTTGAATTATGGTGCAACAGACAAAGGGTGGTGCCCCTCAGAGGCAGACCATTCAGGTGCCCCCCTGGCTGTGCCCCTTGGAAGGACTTAGATGCAACTGAGCTAAGGAGGGTGCAAGGCCTCCATTATGCCATATGTGGATTACCACAGAATCACAGGTGAGGGCCCAATCAGCCACCACGACCAGTGCTTCCCTGTCTTGGTGCACAGACGGAGCAGCCTATTACATATGCTGTCATGTCCACTCTCTCACACATTCAACAGGCACTCAGAGGTTAAATATTCCAACCCCTTTCCCCTGAAGGTGGCCTTAGTTAACAAGAGTTGATCAAGCTCTTCTTCTGCTCAAACTGAGCAAGACTGACAGACTGACTAACTGGGGCACCCCCGGGGATCTTACCATAATCAAGCAAGCAGACAGACAGACAGATAGACATAGTGTATCCTCCTCCCTTTGGGGTCCAATGTGAGCCGCTCAAGCAGAGAGCCAGGAATCCTCCTCCAGAGCTCTGAGGGGGCTTAGAAATCTTGAGAGTGTGCCTTCCTGTTGGGACCTGGAGAGGTCCTTGCTCAGTCTGCAAGGGCCAAAACCAGTGACCAAAGAGGTTAGTACGGTCAATCTTCCTGACGTCACACCAAATGCAATGCCAAGCAGAAACACCAAAATGACACCCAGGATTTGGAGGCAGATTTATTTATGTCGACAGGCACTGATTGGGATCATTCCCAGAATAATCAAGCCCTGGTCTCTGGTGGCCTAGGGCTCATATGGGATAAGCAAGCAGGAAGTACAGAAGCGAAATGGCTTGCCAATTGGGGATAGTTTTATACAATGTGCATCACAGTGACCAGCCGTTTCTAAGAGAAAGGAGCAACTGGAACTGGAACAGAATATATTACCTGGGCAACTAAGAAACTGAAGTATACTGGTTGCGGAGGGGCATTTTCTGTTACAGTAGGACATCAGAAAGCCATCACATCCCTAGTCCTCATGAAGATGGACCACGGGAGCGGCTTCCCATCTCTGATGGCTGGCAGCAGGCACTGGGAAGGAAGGCACCAAGGTAGGTGAGGACACTGAGACCCACTTTCATGTGAAGCAGTTGATGGAGGCCAGGAGCGTCACCTAGCAGGGAGAAGACATGCTTTGAATATGATCTGTCCCCTGGAACACATACTGTACTTTAATCACTTCCTGAAGTATTTAAGAGAGGAGAAAATCTGGCTGCTACGTTTAAAGGGGGGCCTTAAGAGGGGATCAGAGTTAGATAATGTCATCCAGGTGGAACTGCCATGACTGAACCCTTGTGGCTGTGTAAGAAGACAGAGGCCAGAAGAGGTATGCCTTACACATATGCCATGTATGTCTCTGCCATGTGATGCGTGGTGCCTCTCAGAACTCTGCAGGTGAAGGCCATACCACATGAGGCATCTAGACCTTGCACTTCTAGAACCATGAGCTGAATGAACCTCTTGTCTTTATAAAGTAGTCTGCCTCCAGGATTTTGTTACAGCAATGAAAAACACTCAGACTTATAAGGAGTTTCACCAGCTAGTTGATCCTCAGGCAATGATCAATATGTCTAGCAATGGCCTCCCTCAGAAGAAAAGCAAAGAAAAGGTTCCAGGAGGCAGGCTCCACCTCAGTACAATGGAGGAAAGGTAAAATGTTGATTACTGAGAGCGCCTAGCTACCAGGTTCTCAGAGAACTACCTTGTCCAATCCTCAAAGAACCCAGCCACGGTGTATAACTGCTTCATCACACCGACCAGAGGATACAGAAACACTGGACCCCAGAGGCTCGCCATGCAGGAACCAGGGCCCAAAGGAGGCCCCAGAGAAGATCCCAGGAGCCCCAGGAGCTCCGAGACCCCAGGAGCCTTTCTTTCTGAGCTGGCTTTCTATGACGAGGAAGGGGGCAGCAACTCAGATCTGTGCTGCTGTGCCTGGGAGGAGGCAGCTGGCAGGGGCATGTGCTGGCCTCCAGAGCCCTAACTGTGGCCTGATGCCACCCTGAGACAAGGGTGTAGAAAAGGAACCGGACGGAGAGAGGGAGGAGCAGAAGGAGACACATGGGAGAGAGGAAGTGTAAAGCACAAGGGAGACCAGGGAGAGTAAGCAGGGCACTGTGGCAGCTGACAGGGAGCTGTGGATAGTAGGGGTACAGGCAAAAGAGCGACAGGAGGCCCCTGGGGTAGCATTTGCTACAGAGAGCTGGTGCTGTGTCCAGAGTCATGGGGAACAATTGGTCCTCCTTTGAGACAGGCTTGCACCCCTCACTACATGTCAGGGCTGCTTGGTGCCAGGAAGCAGCAGAAAACGAGCAAGCAAGCAAGCACCCCTCCTGGCTGAGCCATCCAGCATGGTGCATACACACTGGATAAAGGAGAATGTCCTGTACATTCCAGGTGCAGGGAGACCTGAGTTCAAACCCTGAGTTCACCACTCAGAGCTGCGTGGCCTCTGGCAAGCTCTCGGGCCTCCCTGAGCCTCATTGTCCCCTCTCTGCAATGGTGAGGGATGTATAACTCAGGGCCATCTCCCCTGTAAATGTGTGCCTCAACTGTAAAAGGAAAATCCCCAGCCCTAAGTGTTCCAGGAGGCCAGAGAAGCAAAGCTGGAGACGTCAGGCAGCACTGGAGGAAGGATGCAGTCTGGTCCTCAACTCAGTGTTCTGCACTGACTATTACAGAGATGACCAGACTGTAGAAAAGCCCCGAGTGCTGATCTATCCGTAAGGCAAACGGGAAGAGGCCTGAAGTAGGCGCCTTGGCAGGCTAGAAGCACTGGGCCCCAGGGAGCTGGCATGCGGGCATCATGCTGATGAGTGCCAACATGGCCCTGTGGCAGCCCATGGCATGGGGCAGCCAGCAGGGTCAGCCACCTTGGCAACCACTGCCAGCTCTGCACACAGTGAGGAATTCTTAAGAGATGTCCAGTGCCATGCCCATGCGTACAAACTACCAGAAAACTTTGCAGGCAGTGGGCAGAGCTGGCAGAGGCAGATTCCACCAGCCAAGAAGGTGAAGGAGATGCCCCCAGCTGCTGAGGACCCCAAGAGCAGCGCCACTGTCCCTGTGGGTGCAGAACTCCCTCTCCTAGGGGCCCTCTGGGGCCTCAGCCACTATCCCAACCTCCAGTGGGGAGGGTGCAAGCCACCCCATGAGTCACTGTGCCCACTTCCTGCCACATGGAGCCCATGGCTGAGTCATTGGCCCCCCAAAGGGAAAGACTGGCCACAGAGGCAGAAAACTGGAGCCCAGTGGTGGCGGGAGGGGGGTGCTGGCACTGTGGTGTCCTGCTCCCTCCCTTGGGGTCGAGATCCCTCCTGCAGGACCTGGGACAGTCAAGAGGCGCCCACCTAGCCAGTCCACTGGCCCAGCTCTGTGCTCACATCTTTCCCCTCAGAATAATAATTGTATCGTGTGCTTAAAAAAAAAAAAGCCAAACAAGAAATCCCGACCTTTCATTTAAAAAAAAAATCTCAGGCTTACAGAAAAATTGCAAAAATACTACAAAGAATTCCTGTATGTCCTTCATCCAAATTCCCCAGATGTGACCATCTGACCACACTTAGGTTATTTTCTCTCTCTCTCCCCACATCTTTCTCCCCTTAGACACTGGAGTGTAAATCACAGACACGATGCCTCTTTACCCTGAATAACTTCCCTGCATTCCATAAAACCAGGAGCATTTCTTATGTACTCGCAATACAGGAAGACACCTTGTATCATTCACCTGCCATGTGCCCCTTCAGAAACCCCTGGCCATATCCATCTGAGCCAGCTCTGTGGGGTGCCACCTGGCCACACCTGGCCACACCTGGCCTGGGTTTCCTGCTGCTGCAGAGCCCACCATGCGGAGGGACCCCTCTGGGCTGCTAAGTGCTGTAGGGGAACTGTGAGCAGACATCCCCTTTCTCCTGGCCTCTGTCCTCCGATCAGTTTATTTTGTTTCTTGGAAGACACCAGGAGAGAGCAGGAGATACTCAGAGGCAGGGCTGTCACTTGGCCCCGCATTAAAAAGGACTCTGTTCTCAGGGCCTGCTGTTGTGCCATCCCCTGCACATTCTCTGTGGATCTTTTCCCCTGTGACAGGAAGTCAAGTCCACAGACAATGGGGCATCGGCTCTCCTGTGGCTCTGATCCTGCATCCTGGGGACAGTCCCTCCGTTACCAACTTCCTAGTCTCCACCCAGCAAACACTGCCAACCTCTCCCATCGGTGAGGACCTGGGCACAGGTGGAGTGAGGTGACACCTGAATATTTTGGAGGGTCCGTCCCCACCTTGCTGCTGTGGGTCTTCACAGGCACCAGCTGAGCCCTAGTGAAGAGAGAGAGGCAGAGGGAGAGGGTGCTGGGACGGAGCGCAGCCCTGAGCTTCTGCCTCGGACAGAACCGGCTCTTGGCCCCCACAGCCCGGCTACTCCACGCTGCCCCTGTCCTGCTGTCCTTCTCAGAAGCTGCGCTGACAGCCCCGTCCCTGTGCGCCCAGTTGCTAGGGGGCCCAGGCTGGCACTGAGCCCACCGAGTAATCTCAACATCAATGTCCTCTGTTTCTGGAGCCACTCATGGGCTTGCCCTAAGCACTTGGTCAGTGCCTCCTCCGGTGGGGACAATTACTGTACCCTACTACCCTTTTCACAGATGATCCAATCAAGTCTCAGACAAGCCACCCAAGGTCAGCCAGGAACTGGATTTAAATTCATGGGGTGAATCCTTGTAGGACAGGTACCAGGGATTGAACACAAGGTCTTTGCACTGAGCTACATAGCCAGCCCTTTTAAAATTTTATTTATTTATTTTTAAGACAGAGCCTTGCTACATATTTAAATTTCCCAGGCTGCTGGGATACAACATGGAAATCTCCAGCCTCAGACTTCCAGAGGGCTGGAATTACAGGCATGTACCACCATACCCAGATACAGGGTAGATTCTTTCTGCCCCAGAGGCAAAGCCCACTTTGGAGGTTAACTTGGGTGTGTATAAGGTTCTTCTTTGACCATCTAGAAACGGGATAGGATAATTGATCTCTCTCTTTGACCTGCACAGGGAATTGTGGGTACAGAAGGGTGCTGGACTTGGAATGGGGTTTGGCATGTCAAGGCCCTGGGGAGTATCGCTGTTACTTGGGTCCAGTGGCCCAGGGCAGGCTCCTGCGGTGGCCTGGCTGGGGCTGGGGCTGGGCCAATCCTGTGATTGTCAGCAGCCATTCCACCAGTTTTACCCACAGGGCTGAGCCAGAGTCCCCGTCCCTGACCCTTGCCCCACACATTGTGCCTTCTCATCCCTGCCTCCAAGCAAAACTCTGGCTAACTTCCTAGCTCACCCTATCCTTTTCCCAGAAATAATCTAAGAAGCTTTAGGCTAGGTGGGAGGCTGCTTCTCCCAGGCTCCTCAGCTGGCAAACTAAAACTCTGGGTCCTAATGGGTTGGTTTGTCTTTTGAGGCGGAATCTGGTCCTTGCTGTTGATCTCCGGTAGAGTCTTGGACTAGCAACCTCTCTGGGTTTGAGCATTCTCCTAAGCATTGCAGCTAAAAGTGTCATCTTACGCAGAGACTCACTGGGAGCACGAACTACTATAAGAACATTCTGACATGGGCTCCTTTTGACAATACCTTATCTCTTATGATCCCTATACCTGTCTGACAATTCTGTTAACATCTCTGCTTCATCAAGGGGAAACAGAAATTCAGAGAGGTTAAGTATCCTACAGAAGGCAACCCAGCTAGCAAACCAGAGCCGAGGTCTACAGATGTCTGAGTGGAAGCCTGGCCCCAGAGGAACAGCAAGGGCTGGCCACATGCCCAGGGTTCCCAGCGTCCAGGGCTGCAGCCATCCAGCCCCAGGGCCAACCCCAAGAGGAGCTAGCAAGGAAACCGACCCCTCCAAATAAACAAAGCACTTCCTCCCCAGGCCCCGGCCAGAAGGAGGGGGTGCCATGAGCACACAACTGTTTATGGAGACAGATGTTTGGGATGGAAAAAGAGAGACAGCCCTCCTCCATCCCCATGGAGACAGAGGAAGTTTGCGACTTGGGCAGCAGCAACTGGAATTGAAAAAGGAGAAGGGGAAGAAGGGGAGGGAACCGGGCCTGACCCGCTGGAAATGGTTTGACATTTGCA